CCAGGCTAAGGTAGCGACCTTAAACCCAGGGGGGACTTCCTCGAGGCCAGGCTGGGGACATTGCCCAGGCACTGGCCTACCTGCTGGTGGTTAGTTGGGGACCAGCTGTCGAAAGCAGGTGGGAGAGGAGGGTGTCTTGTACTGACACCTCCACTTAGCTAGACTTAATTGAGTTTTCAGCGTTAAATAGCCTTGATATTGACTGTGTTTCTGGGTATTTTACTCAGTTGTTTAACCTTGTTTGAGGGTTCTGTGCCGAGATGGCACCCTGCTGGAGTGGTCCATGCCACGTGCATGCGTGACGGGCCAATCGCTTGGCCAGCGGGGTGGTCAGAGGACTTCTGGCCGGTGGGACTGTCTTTCAGTCAATGCGGGCATGTTTTTGCGAATACGGTCAGATATATATATCAATGGAGAAGCATGCTTTTGTCATTACAACTAACAAAGAATATCTCATCGAAAATCACTACAATCTTAGCTCGTTAAAAGAAGTTTGAGCGTGTATAGGGGGACTCATGCACATTTTGCTCAGTTGCATACGGCTTTGCGTACAGAAGGAAACATGTTTGATATGAATTAACTCCAGGCAGCTAAAGAGCTAGTAAAACGTAAGGTGGCCGAACACAGTTTTCGCGCGCGCTCTTGTCAATGCGATTTAGCGCGAGCACAAGGATTACAAGAACAAACATGCCATTGCTACAGCGATCATTTTATTTGCTCAATGTCCGCACTATCTGTGCTATTTTTCGTTATTGAACCCAGTGTGTTGATATTTTAGTCTTTTACTTGAAAGGTATGTCAGAAAAGGTAACGATGCAAAGAACTCAGCAATTCTCAGATTTTTCTTTGTTATCGAAAGAACCCACTTAAATGCAGCGCATGCGTAGTAAGTTAAAACATTGAGATTGAATGCAGAATTAGCTTTCTCGGAGAACCACTCCTTAAAATTTCACGAAATTTGGCACGAAAATACTCTAGGAAATAAGTAGCTGGAGTATTGAAAAAAATTTGAACTTTAACAAAGGAAATTTTAGATATTTCACCGAACCTTCAACAAGGGATAATTAAAGATCTCTTTGTTAAATTGTTATCAAAATAGCGTCAACTTGTGAGCATCATTACACGCTTGTTGCATGCAAATTATAAAGAAAATCTAATGACTAGATTTTCTGCAAATAAACAACGCCGATTTTAAAGGTCTGTCTATATTTATGCATGTTGCCATGGCAACGGCACATACCTCAGCTTAACTATCAAAAAACCAAAGTTTGTGTTGTTAACTTGCTTGCTGCCATTTTTGGTGATAAAAGGATCAAGGGTTTTAGAGAAAAAGACGAATGAAACACAGGTATCAAATACTGTGTTCAGCCACCTTAATACGTCGTGAAAATTTTAGCTCTTTGAATGTGATATTCAAGGAGATATTGTCTTTCAAAAACTGCAAAATTTCTGGGTGGCAAAAGTGCTAATGAGTTCATACATTCTTTGTAAAATTCTGAGTTTTTAAACCCGTGTTGCTAAAAGAGCATTCAATGTATCAGGCTCATATTCATTGGCAGAGTCAATCTTACTATGACCTTTCAATAATCAGAACTGATTCATTTGTAGCTCCATCAGAAACTCCAAACATCAAATACATTCGAAAACATATATCACATACGCTATAATCTAAGATTAATCACAAGAATATTTTCAGCCTAAAATCGGCAGAAAAATAACGATATTCAGTCTCGGCGGGAAAAACAATACTAGAAAACCGAACTAATCCGCTTAGCCAAAAATAAACATGTTAACTTAAATTTACCTAGTCATGATTAAAACGTAGAAGGGCATCAAAATCTTCTATTCCCAGGACGACTGGATGCTTTTGAAGTACGAGTAGACGATAAAGGGAGAGATAAAGAGACAAGAGGATTTCTGAAGCCGCGAGAACCTTGTGATAAAGCCTGCTACAATAACTGTATGAGTGAGAAGGCAGTCGGCGATGCCACGAGCTGCTCCCACTGTGGTTCACGCTGTTACTAATTATCTGTGTCTCAAGAAGTGTGAGTGTCATAACATGCATAGCAATTTTAGAAAGTCGCGTACAGTCAAGCTATTTTGTGTGGATACACCATTGAAAAGATCTGCTCTGTTGTTCGCTGGGTATCAATAAACACAACTCTGTGCTGTTCTCAACAACTTGGGTCATGTAAACGTAAAAAGCAAATCAACATATTTTTTGTGTTTAAGTTGAAGCAAGATCAGCGCATTAGCTGAAATAAAAGCTTGCACCATCTGTAAATCTAAGAAGATAGGAAATGATTCTTCTGCCTTCTGTCGAACCTAGTCATAAGATTAATACGAGCAAAGGTCTCTCTTTCTAGAAGAAACTTCTGTTATATTTTCTTATATATATTTATTAACATCTACTAAGATTGGAAATGATTATTCTCCTTGCTCCTTGCTCTGGGCTGGGAGAATATCGGCCCGATAATGAGGGCCGCTATTCTGCATGCATATTACGGCTGTAACTAGATAATATTAATGTAGATATTGATATCAGTGTGAACGTTGCTATGCTTACTGTGGATATTAATGACTGGTCTTCCCTTGCTCCTTCAGGTGTATGATCAGAAGTCCATAGTCACACGGATCCTTCAACTAGAAGCTGTTCCCTTAAAGTAGTGTGAACGCAACCACATTTAAAGTCTTTGACGTGTTCAATAAAGAATAAATTGTGTGACTGAATTAACTGAATGTAGTTGCTCAACAAAGCAACAAAGTTGCCGACAGCCAGAGCACTGCATTGAGATGTTGGTACATACCGTAAAATATATTTTAAACCGGGGGACTAATAACCGGAATTTTACGGTAACAAAAACGGCCAATAAAACTTCCAACTCTTCTCGTGTGTTCAATATTTGTTCAACTATAAGAGTACGTTCTGTTTTCTCTTTTATCGAAATTGAACAGTTCTTGAGGCACGTTAGGGACATTGATTGGTTTTATCCGTTTATTTGTGAGATATGCCTTCGTTGTACGGAATACCTTAAAGGGACGATGATAATCAGAAGTTGGCGCGTTAAGATGGCGAACACTTTACAATTCGGCCTTTCTTGTCTATTTTACAAATCTTTCACTGTTTTATGACCCGAAACTGAGATTTCTTTTACAAATCACTGAACCCAACCAACCAACTCCTGATGAGGACAAATTACTTTCATTTAAAAGAGGTCACTCCAGAAAGCTTACTTTTTTGTCTTCGCCTATAGCAAGTAAACATTCAGCTTTTCCACTCACCTAAGTTTCAGCCTCTGAGGTGTCCGCTATCCTGAAGAAATTTGTCTCGAAAGAAGCGACTTCGGAGGCCGCAATTTTGCAACTGTCTTGGCAGCCAGGCCGTGTTTAGGTGACGTCATTCCGTCCTACTCGAAATTGACGGGAAGGAGAAAAACCTGCAACTGACTTGGCATCCTTCACAAGGTCAGCAAAATCTATTTTTTCGGAGCGATTTTCCACTTCACTGTCTTCAATGCTATCATTTTGGAGTTTGGAGGATGTTTGGCTCAAAATAATATGGTTCTAGAGCAGCCATAACCCAGAGTGGTAGTTGAAAGGCTTGTCGGAAGCCATTTGGGTAAAATCTCTCGGACGGAACGACGTCATGAAAACGCGGCCTGGTTGCTGAGTACTGTTTAAAATGGCGGCAATGATGTTCGAATTTTGAGCTTCTTTGGAGACGAATTTCATAAGGAAAACCTGCACTTTGGAGGCTGAAACTTCGGTGAGTAGCTAAACTTATTGCAAGGTGTTTATTGGTGTTAACAAAAAAATTGTTACTTTGAGACCGCCCGATCACTAGAGGTAAGTTTCGAAGTTAACTTCAGCTTTGCTTGTTTTCATTATTCGATAGACCGGTTTTATCGAGAGTAACAGATCTCTCGCTGGTGGAGACTGGGTTTTCTGTTTTACGTGTACGTGAATTATCCAAAATAACACAATTTGTTTACCGATACAACGCACAAGTTTCTTTGGAGCCCTCTGGCANGTACATATTACTCTGGTACCAAAGAGGTTGTATGTTTCAGTCGTTCATTCGTAATAATCATCCATCAGTCTTCACTAGCTTGTGAATATCCATACTTTATTTTTTTCAACCCAATTACTCATTTATTTTTGAACAGGAGACCCAGTTGTTGTGCAAATTACCAAGCACTAAAATGATGGACTTCCTTCTGACCAAAATTATTTTTGTCACAATTAAGTAGCATTTGTTTGGTCCTTCTTGTGACAATGCACTAACTACATCTCATGTGAAATTGAAACCAAAAATTTACTCACTTGTTTCTGCATATTTTTCTTTACAATTAAGTAAACATTTGTTTGGTCCTTCTTGTGACAATGCACAAACTACATCTCATGTGAATTTGAAACCAAAAATTTACTCACTTATTTCTGCATATTCTTCTTTGCAATTAAGTAGCATTTGTTTGGCCCTTCTTGTGACAATGCACTAACTACATCTCATGTGAATTTGAAACCAAAAATGTACTCACTTATTTCTGCTTATTTTTCTTTACACTTAAGTAAACATTTGTTTGGTCCTTCTTGTGACAATGCACTAACTACATCTCATGTGAATTTGAAACCAAAAATGTACTCACTTATTTCTGCATATTTTTCTTTACAATTAAGTAAGCATTTGTCTGGTGCTTCTTGTGACAATACACTAACTACATCTCATGTGAATTTGAAACCAAAAATATATTCACTTATTTCTGCATGTCTTTCTTAACAATTAAGTAAGCATTTTTCTGGTCCTTCTTGAGACAATGCACTAACTATATCTCATGTGAAATTAAAGCCAAAAAATATATTCACTTATTTCTACATATTTTACTTCTCAAACATGTACTGTAATTTCAACAGTGTAAAAAAAAAATATGTAAATAGTCTAAAATAACAAAATCTGAAAATATCAGAATTAAGTGTTAAAACTCACTTTACTAGATACATACCTGAAATTTCCATAGGTATCCCCGAGGAATATTTATCAAGGACAGTCCTCAGGGAGTGGATGGGGAACTTCATGCTGGAGGTATCCCTTATTGGAAGCTGGGTTACTGCAATGGAGGAAATGCATAAAAAGCTGTAGAGGGCAAACAACAACAACAAATCCCATAATTTTAGCAACCTAGGAAAAACATGTTATATTTTTTCAAGGGCAAGGGAGCATGGGGGGAGGGGCATATCTATAAATAGATTTTGTGTGGGGGTTGCCAGAGAAGGCGAATACAGACAGGGTACTATTTTTAAGGTGCGTAGGGGCTTCATTAGATAATATTATGTAGATTATATCATTGGAGATCATGGGTGCCTACCATTTAGCAAAAAAATCCGGAGATTTAGGAAAATCAGTTTGGAAATTGTAGACTACCTTCAGAGATAGTTCTCTTTTCCTGTTAAGAACGGAGGGGCGGAAATTTCCTTACCATTTGCTTAATTTAATTTCCAGTTTCCAGCCTCTCATCAGCTGAAAACAATTACAGGAAGTAGAATTGCAAATGGTATTTAAGCGCCATTTCGTTCGGTTGGTTTGCTGATTTTGGAAAAACCCTTACCATTATTCAATGGTAATCCCAACTGGTTTATTCTGACAAAGGGTAAGCACCCAAGTCATGGAGTTGTGTATGCACTAACAAGAAATATAATTAACAGTACTTTTATGTGATTATGTTTATGTTGTACAAAGTGATTCTAGTCTCAAACAAACTCAAGCTGAAACGCTAGTGAGTGACTATTCAAATGAAATTTCATGTGATACTGTTTATTATGCTGTACAGGGTGGTTCTAATTTTTAAATCCTAGTGCGTGACCATACAATTGAAAGCTATTGTGCAATATGTTCATGTTGCAGTGTTTAAATATGTTGTACAGGGGTGGTTTCATCTTTTAAGTCTGTGGGTTAAACCCCAGTCTGCGACCATTCAAATGAAAGCTACTGAGCAGCTTTTTCAAGTGGTACTGTTCACATGGCATTCATTAAATGGTTCTTAATTGTACGACTGTGGATGAATATACCACCATTCAACCTATAGAGCACAACGTCTATTCAGTGAGCAACTTTCAATTTTTCCAAATGATTTGTGATTTTCTGGACCAAAACAGCACTTTAGTGCATGACTATCCGGCAGTGTGTAAAATACCTCAGATTCTAATCCTGGAATCATGTAGAGCCACAAAATATAAGTAGAATACTATGATTTCAATGACAGCTACAATTGTAGGTACCATGAAACTACGATATTGCGTGACACTTTCCTGTCACGTCAGCGTAAGTCATATTATTTGGCGGGAAGTAAGATTTGCAGAAGAAAAGGTTATCAAAAATTATTCCATAAGCCTCAACATAGCACCTTTCAAGAAAGTCCTCGAATTTTTTTTCTCCTCCAAAAATACATTTCGATTCCCCGATTGTGATATTGACGGTATTCAAACTTCCTGAACGTAGAACCTAACTCTAGCGATAAATTACAGCCTTGTAAGCAAAGAAATCATACCTACCGTTTATCTTCCATCCACTGAAGTACGTTTCGCCTTTGACAAATGGCGACTTTCGTCAAAAGCGTGAATACTCAGGCTTAAGTTTATATACGTTTCAACTTAATTCTTCCCGCCATCCACAATCCGCCATCACTCTCCATGGCCATCACGGGACGGTTTGTGTTTTGTTTTCATTCGCTTCTCTTTCGATTTCAGTATGCGGGCTCAATATTTCTGCGCCAAACCAATCAAAATCCACCATCTATCAAAACACGCATGACGTCATTCTTATGTCCAACTTCAACTTTCCCGCGCGTCTGAAAAATGGCGGTTCACCAATTAGCCGGACGGAAAGGAGGCGATTTTCAAGTAAATTTGACCAACTGTACCTTTGAAAGACTGGTTATTGGTGATGGGAATACCGTAAATAATTGTTGTAGACGTCTTGAGTATGGGGAGCGGTCAACAACGTCTCGATCGAAAGGAACAGGGTTTCGAACGACAGCCATCCAATTGCAAGATGGCGGGGAATGTCGTGGAACAAAGAGAAAGCAGAGTAAGATCAGATTTCCCCAGCGAAAACAGAGACCAGATCCTAAGTTGTGCTCAAAGAGAGGTTCCAGTGAGAGTGAGGAAGAGTTCGTTAGGTATGATTTGCCAGAAATCTTTCCGGCCGCTTCGTGTGATTCCAAACAAAAGACGATCGAATTNACCTACCAGGGACTGCAGTCTCAGCTGAGCTGGTATAGCTTCCAGGGTCACTAAGGCACGCAAACCTCCCCACCACCTTAAGGTGCAGCACTTAACAACTTAACGTCATCAATTAGATGGAACCAACTTAAGAAAACTTATCCTTTTAACAAAATCAATAACTTACTGAGTGAATATTTATTTAAGTCATGAATGGTGAAACTTTCAATCTGCTCAAATTGGAAAATAAATTACAAAAGCAACTTTCTGTCTTCGTTTACACATGGCTCAAAGTAAACTGTATTAATATTGCCGCTTAATTTGCATAACAGAGGGACAACAAGTTTTATTTCATAGACATTGTACAATTTTAATTTACCCATAAATTTTGTTCTCGAACTAATAGTTCCACAAGAGCTAAATAACTCGATCAACAGCAGAGTACTTCTATGATTGTGTCCTTCACAGCCTGTCTCACTTCCTCTATCTTCCAGCAGTAAAGAATCGGGTTTAATGACGAACTAACAAAAACTAAAGCAGTTGTAAAACCAAACGCGAGAGAAACTGATGAAAATGGCTCAGCATGAATGCCGAGCAAAGTTGCCAATATTACTTGTGGCAGATAACAAGCGAGTAACGTGAACTTTAAACACAGTGCAGTGGACACTGCCTTCCTGTATCGCGCTATGTTCAATTGATTTGTTTGGTTCGTTTGGTGAACATGTTCTTGTACTTGGTTTTGATTATGGCGGAGGGTGAGGAAAATCTTTGTATAACAAAAGGTTGAAGTTACTAAACAAAATAATATAAGTATAATTCCACACCACAAGGCGATAAAGATATTAAAAAACTGCATTGCTGAAAAGATGGTGGATACAGCCCAAAATGTAACAACGATCAGGTAGGCTCGCTTCAAAGTTACAACTTGTCTGTATCTCAGCCCCAACAACAGGGCGAGAAGTCTGTCCACGCTTATCGCAGTGAGTGTCAACAGAGACACTGAGCACAAAGTAATGCCTGTGATAAAAAGGACGACTACTGCGTAGCGACATATCTCCCAATTCTCATTTACCGCAGACATGAGAAAAATAACAGCCTGAGGCTCTACAATAAGACCAACACAAAGATCAGTTGTTGCAAGGTTACTCAGCAAGACTTTGGACGGCGGATGAAGGGAAGACTCCTTGCGAAGAGCGGCTAGAATCAAAACATTTCCAAGAAATGTCGTAATGGACAGAAAAGCGTTTAAAACTGCGAGAGCTGTAAACTGGTCATGTATTCCAGCGGTTATATCTGATGAGCAGTATAGCAGTTCAGCCGTCGTAAAAATGTTCTGCTTTCCATCTTCAGAAACGTTTACTGTAGCCATTACTCTGCCGCTGCGATCTCACTATCTGTGTGTAGGCGTGAGTTTAACTGCTAGCTGGAATGCCTTGATCAAAAAATTTATGCTTTTTATTTTTTACCAAACATGTCATCCATGAGCAATTAATTTGGTAAAGCAATTTAACTGGCCGGAAAAAGAAGAAAACAAATTAGCTAGCCGGACCTAGCCGAGCAGATGGTTTTGCTACCAGACTGTCGTGCTTTTTGCTCAAAGGTAGCACAATATTTGTTAACGTTGTTTGAAATAATGTCAAAGATACAAATTTATAGTACAGCTATCGAACCCCGCGCTCACTCCTCTCCTCAACGCCTTTTCCCCCTCGCCCGCTGAAAAGTTGCAACAATAATCATATTTCATCAGGTTATGGCTGTGTTATGGGGAAAAAATTCGGCAATACGTTAAACCGTTTACTATCCATGGTTAAACCTTTCTTAGTTTCCGAGATAAAGGAAAGAGATACACTATTTTGACTTTAAAATTTCTCTAAATGAAACGTGAACAAGTTACATGGAATAAATTATTTTTAAAGCTTGTCACGTGTTTATGGAAATGTAAAGGAAAACAGTTAGAAAATGTTTTACTTACTTACAAGTAGAACTTACTATGATGGGAGAAGATTGCGTGGCAAAAAATCGTCCGTGTGCGACACTGTGCACGCGTTACATGCCCATGTCGAGCAGCCCATCGGGACCTGGTTACTAATAGTCACCCGCAAAGAAGCATGGGTTTGATAGAAGACGACATGGCGGCGTTTTACTTCATAGTTCTTGAATGAAAGTCTACGCTAAAAGATAAGCCGTAAATAAAACGTGGTTGGGAGATTTTTAAAGGAAATATTCATTTGAACATCTTTTTCACATGATGTCTTTAAATCCACAAAAAGTGCATCGCAAAAGACCTGCGGACTCGGAAGACAAATCCGGATGTTGCTTGAACTTAATTTGATCTTTGTTTGCAATCCTAAAAAATAGCTGAAAATATTTGTGGTTTATCACCAATTGAGACAACATCCAAGACTTGCACCCCACTGTACATGCAAGTGAGATGACAAGCATTCCAATCAATTTCATATGGGAGTCCCCAGGTACTGATTGATNAACGTGTATAAAATCACGTACGGAACCAATTGCCTTAAATCCGCTTGACTAATCCAAACTCGTAATCCCCAACAAAGATTATTTCCTATGCCGCTTATAGCAACCTTCCCTCCTCCCTCTCCCCCCCGACCCCACCCCCCCTCCCGTCGCTTATAAGCTCACCCCAAGCCCCATGAGTAGTTGCGGCTTAAACCCGGCATTTTACGGTATCAAAAACGGCCCGGCAATAAAACTTCCAACTCTTTACGTGTATTCAATATTACTTCAACTCTAAGAGGTATTTCTGTTCTCTCATTGATTGTAATCGACCTGCCCTTGAGGCACGTTAGGAATGATGATTAGTTTTATTCGTTTATGATCGGAGCCGGAGATTTCTTTCGAAAATGACTGAATCCAATCAACCAGACAACCAAAAAAACAACCACACTGATAGCTATTCAAATCTGAGAGTTGTTGAACATTCGTCTCGCTATTTTTGGAGGTGGGGTTATGTGTGGCGCCGTGGTGGGCTCGCTACTAGAGACCTTACGCAACAGGACGGCTCAAGGAGAGGACGGCAAAATTTCATTGTGTGACGTGCGTGACTGCTTGCTTCTTAAGTTATTTGACGCCATTTCCGGTTTATCACTGCCGTCCTCTTAGCGTTCACGACGTGAAAACAAGGAGTTTGAAGTTCTGAGGAAAACGTGAGTATTTTTATCCATTTATTTTCATCTTAACNAACAGTAGTTCTTCGTCATCAATCAAATTCAGGTCATTAGCGAGTAAAAGTGCTTCTCTTGCTTCCCTAAATGTAGCCATTTTAGCTTCAAGTCATCTCCATGTCGTGTTGTGTTGCGTAAGGTTTGTTTACGTTTAGGACGGCAACATCATTGCTCGCGTGCTCAGCCCAGTCCTCGCGCGATCTGAGGTCGCCGTCCACATCGAACCGTCCTGTTGCGTAAGGTCTCTACTTTCGGAGGACGGGGAGTCGTTACTTTCGGAATTTTTGCGGTATTAGAATACAGCAGTGCATCTTTTCCAATGACTGCTAAGAGCTACTAGGATTGTGTTTAAAACGCTGACTTTTTTTGGCAGAAAGAAGTAGTCGCGGGTCAAGACTTATCGCTCCAAAGACGCACTTCGTTAAAGTTGAGGTTCGCGCGTGACTTGAAAAAACATGAACACATAATGCGCGCACTTTGCGAAAACTAGTAATTTATGCCGATTTAGGCTAATCATAAATCAGGCGGACAGCGCGGAATGGATGTAATTAATGATAATTATTATATAGCTTTGGCTTGTGGCCGATATAACGCGCGCGAGATCTGAGCGGTCATTATGCAGCCGTAATGCCCACGGGCCGATTACGGATTATGCAAATTAGGAGGAGCCCGACTCTGAAAATTCAAGCGCATTGAAGGGATGAAAGCCGATGAAAATCAGTAAGAGAATGTAAGTAGCTAAAAGTTTATAGATATTTCCTAAATAAAATTTATATAGATGACTTACCAGCCGGTAACCTTGGGGGGCACTAGTGAAAAACAATCAAAGTTTGCCGTGTCTTAAGTAAAGCTAAAATCCCTAAGTGTAAAACACCATCGGCAGATCTGTCGTGCATCTTGAACAGAACACCACGAAGAAACTTGTAAGTTATCATCTTAGTCACAACAATTACCGAAGTATTGAACTCCGTCAAAGTTCTGAAGCACTTTCTGTCTTTTCTGTATGCGTTGACGTTTCGCCACAAAAGTCGGAATAACTCCCCCATCAACTTGTGGTACCACGATACTAAAATACCTTTTTGAGGCTGTGACAGTCACTTTTCCCTTAAAGAAATGAGTGTTTTTAACGGAATACGTAATACAGCTGTGAAGTTCACTGACTGTGTACTTCTGCCCTGGGTTTGAGACGATGAATGAATCGGTAAATGCGCGCATCGCGAATGTAAATTGACGACTTCCACTCGAATGATTTTTTCTCTTTATTCATGAGCCATATAATAAACAACTTAGTAACCTCGACCGTTCGGTCGTTACGGGAAAATCTCAAACCTCGGCCTACCGTATTGACCTCGCTATCGCTCGGTCAATACGGCAAGGCCTCAGTTTGAGATTTTCCCGTAACGACCTCACTCTCGGTTATCAAGTAGTTAATAGCTGCGCGCTAAGTATGACCAGCGACTCAACGCGTTAGAACATAGAACTTCTTTGCTCTGTCAAAGGGCTGTCGCTCACAACGTCTGCTTTTAATTCGCTATGGCGGTTAATTTACTTTTATCAAATCCGAGTTGATAAACAGCTGAGTGATTCACTTGCTTGTTAACTGAAAAAAAGTCAGTTACAGACTGGTTAAAATCCTATTGTCTCGATCATTCCTTGGGAGATTATATTTTGCTTTTGCGTTACGTCCGTGATGCACGCGCTCTGCGAAAACCAGAAATTGTTTTCAACAGTACATCTTCTGATGTCATTTTTCACAAGATGGCTCGTTGAAATTTTTCTACCTTACAAGTTGTCAATTTTAATTTTCTTTTTAATTTTTATATCCATTATGTGTCGCACATCAACCGGGGAGAACATTTTATTTCGTTTTGTTCATCCTTAACATTTAACTTCTGAACTGATTGTTAGAAACTTCAAGTTGATAAACAATTAAGTGATCCACTTACTTCTCGACTCACAAAAAGTCATAGCTACTTGTTAAATTCCGTTTATTGCATCATTCCTTCGGAGATAACATTTTGCTTCTCTGTTACGCTCGAGATGCGCTGACGTGATGCAAACACATCATAATATCCGCGCTTAAACTGGTAATTTATGCTGATCTAAAATTATCACAAATTTCTGTTGGCGCCCAGCGTAAAATGGTTCGAAATGATAAGTAATAGATACTGATATGATAAAAGAAAAAGAATAAACTGGTTCACTGACTTTATCATACTAATTTGCTCTATACATAAAAGCCACGGTCGAATGTCAAAGCGCATTAGAACTTCAAAGGGGCTTAAGGTGCGTTATTGAAGTTTGCGGTGCTGTCATTTTGTGGCTGAAAAGTTTCCGCGGTAAGTAAAACTTTTCTATTCTGTCGACCACACCAAGCCAAACGGCATTAAAGTCAGAGCAAAAGCTAAACAGAAATTTGTTGGGATTTATCGGAGAATTATGTTATGTGTCCACCACCGTGAATGCGCCGTAGAAGCATCACGTTTCTCGTAAGAGCTGAAAAACTGAGGAGCCTTTTCCTTTCAGCTTTTCATGTCGCGAGCTCATGATTCTTTCGGAGAAAGCGCAAATTATTTGCGACAAGCTTGTGTATGTCGGACCAAACGTAATAAAGATTTTTCGTGACGCCAAAACTGCGCTTTTTGAGACTCATTAATTTGGTGTGATATTTAAGCGAATGATCTTGTTGGGCAACTACAAGACGAAAAACAAATAAGAAAGATTGACTGGTTACTCGTATACTAATGCAAATGCTGCGATCTGATTGGCTGAGCTAATCGTACACTATCAGCCATCGGTGTGCAGTGGTTGTAGTGCAGTGGTTGAACGTTTTCTCGTTTTCCCGAAGTTTCGAAGGAACATTTAGAAACAAGTGGATGGTTAGATTGAAAAAGAGGGACACTCACGAGTTGCTGTCGTTAAAATCTCGAAATTGTTGAATAAAAACTGATGCGCGCGCACAAAACTGCAAATTTAAACAATTCAGTCCGCGCTAGAAATTTCTCGATTTCTAGGAAGTGATAGTTGATTCGGTCTTTGGTTTCATCAACTAACACCTTATAAAATCTCGAGTTCATATTCTAATTGTTAAAGCGAAGATAGTACTGACTTCATTATAATTACAGGATGAATTAGCCTTTTCACGGACTGAATAAACCTTTCTAGCATAATCAGATACGCACTAGATTTTTGAGACGCATAAATAACCCTTGATGGACTGAACTATAGGCTCTTTGCACGACCCGGTCACATGGCACAAAATTAACCATGCTGGGACGCAAGTGTCATGTAAATCGTCGAAGCCATGCACAAATACAGTCGAGCAAAATGAAAAAAAAAACAAAAACAAAAACAAAAACAAAAAAAAACAGACAAAGACATGAAAAAACTTTACTTAATTTCCAGGGTGTATGTCTAAGAGAGAGATGATTGTATTTCGGTACTATTTTGTTTTCAATGAAAATATTTCAAAATGTCTTACAGATCCTTGTCTTGATTTTATCGTAAGGACTGTTTTGTTATCATGAAGACTATTGGTGTTGTCATACTTGCTGTTCTCATTGTTGCCGTGACGTCACGCATTCCGCGTTACCACCGTAAACTATCAGATGGAAGAGGTATGTTTCTTTTCATAGGAATTGATTTTTTTTTTTTTTTTTATATATCAATGGACAAGCACTCTTTTGTCATTACCACTAACAAAGGAAAATCTCATCGAAAATCACGGCAAGGTTGTCTGTACCTTAATGGTTAAAAGAAATTTCCCAAGTGAAAGTGAGCGTGTATAAGCAGAAAGACATTGTTTATTTTGCTAGTACCTCGTCTACCTGGATATTTCCCACTTTTCTTTTGGCTACTCTCCTTGAAAATGGGATATTCACCATGGTGAGTAAGAGGGTACGTTACCAAGAAAAAAATTATCATCAGCTCCTAACAAAACTTCTTACAATTTGATTTAGACTGTAAGTTCAGCTACCCTCTTGTCCAAGCTTTCCTCACTTGCATCGGGAGCTCTTAAAAGGAAGAAGACACGGCTAGCCAAACATAAAATGGTGTTGCGAAAGACTAACATAGTTCCTTTACTGATAAGGATATCTAGATAATGTAGATGGATTGTTTCCAAGCCAAAATCAAACTCTTCTGCCTTAGCCAAAAAGAAACACCTTAAAATAAATTTACTTCATCGTGATTTAGCCTACAGAAGGGCATCAAAATCTTCTATTTCAATTCCAGGAAGACTGAATGCTTTCGAAGTGCGTGTTGACGATAAAGAAGCAAGAGGATTTTTGAAGTCTCGAGATCCCTGCGATAACACCTGCTACAGTAACTGTCTGAGAGAGAGAGCAGCAGGCCGTGCCTCGAGCTGCTCCCATTGTGGTTCAGACTGTTAATTATCCGTGTCTCAAGAACCGTGAGTATCATAACATGTATAATCATTTTAGAAAGGCAAGTGCAGTGAGATTCAATTGCAATAAAAGCAAAGTCAAGCTATTTTGTGTGGATACGCCATTGAAAAGATCTGCCGCATCATTCTCTGCGCAACTCTGTGCTGTTTTCGACAGCTTTGATTGTGTAAAAGATAGATCACCATATTTTTGTGTCTAAGTTGAAGCAAGATCAGAGAATTAGCTGAAATAAAAGCTTGCACCATCTGTAAATTTTTGAAGACTGGAAATGATTCTTTTGCCTTCTGTTGAACCTAGTCATAAGATTAATACAAGTCAAGGTGTCTCTTTGCAAGAGAAACTTCCTTTATACTCTCTTATATGTTTATGAATATCTACTAAGATTGGAAATGATTATTCTCCTTGCTTTGAGCCAATCATAACGGACTAATTTTCTGTCGTATATTAAATACAAGAACAAGCTCTCTCTTTCATTTGCAAAGTGAAACTTGTTTTAAATTCTCTTCAATTGGTTATTGTAGGATAATGACCAATTCACTACTGGTAATTGATAGCGCAGGGGAAGAAAAAGGAAAAATTAGAGAGACAGAATAGGAGTATTTTTACTCCCCCCTGGATGGGATGCTATTCCATAGCAGGATTAACCCCTGCATTAAATTCGCCGGTACCCATTTATACACCTGGCGGAGAGATGCACTGTGAGAGTAAGGTGTCTTGCCTAAGAACGCAACACAATATCCCAGACCAGGGCTCGAGCCCAGACCACTCGATCCAGAGGCGAGTGCACTAACCATGAGGCCACCGCGCCTCCAAGTTGCAACTGTTAACAAGTCCTAGATCCTCCTCACAAGTCCACTAGTATTCTATAGTGCACTAGTTGAGAGAATTTGACTATCAGTTCCTTTGTTCTCGTGATCTGTACAACCGCGAAGAATTGTAAGAATTGTTACGGTTACTTTGAATATTAATGATTGGTTTTACATACTCTTTCAGGTGCATACGTAAGAGACAAAGAAACCACGGATCCTTCAGCGTGGCGTGTTTGAAGCATTTCTTCTAGTTCTTAGTACATTTTCTTAGTACATTTTCTTAGTACATTTTGGTTTCGTAGATTTTAAAATATTTCATCCAGGTGAGAATCAAGAGAGATTATTGAGGTAGCAAACTTCAGCGTGTTGGACAGTTCAACAGTTGGCAAATATTCAGATATAGCCCATTAAGAATTTCGTGCTTTTTGCAAAACAAAAAAAAAAAAATGGTATCGATTAGTGTTGTCTTGTCAATTTTAAATACACCAAAATGACCGGAATAAACGTGTGGGTTAGCTGAAGCTGAATTGTACATGTTTTGTTGTCTTTCACAAACAAGCACTGCCCAAGAGGTCAAGCTCGTAACTATTTCGTAAGATGAGGCCAAGGAAAACAGCCACCACACTTTACATTGGCTTGGAATATATCGCAGCCCCTCCGTGCATAAAACAGCTGCGCCTGCAGTTTTAGCGGGAGTCAAAAGCGCACTGTCCAACCGAAACAACACGATAAGAGTCGTTTTCTTCGTAGCTAACAAAATCAAGACAATGCTAAACTTGTTTTGACCCCCTTAGTACTTAATTTAACGAGGAATAAGATATTTTGCTAAGAATAACACAACTAGTATTCTATTTAGCGAAACTAGCCGAGCAATTTACTTGACGCGGGAGACCCTGTTACGGCGCAAAATTTAAATCTTTTAGCCCCAAAATATTTCATATTTTTCATTTGGTGCAATGTTATTCAGTATCTGGCTATTTAAATCCTCATTTGTGCGGTTTCCAGTGAGAAAAATGGTCCGACTTCATTGCCTTTTCTATACATGCCTTCTATTTTTTTTTTCCATTTTCTTTCTTTTTTTTGTTTCATATTTATGGCATGTTAACTGCATGATCGATCATTATCCTATCCCTTATCATAATTATCAACGCGTGGCAATGAAATGAATTTTAAATGTTTCCCACATCAACTTCAGGAAACTTAATAATTTTAAAACTATGAGTTGAGACAAATACCCTGTTTGGGCGAACCTAAGCAAGTTATTTACCCCGTTAACTTGTTAGTTTTCTAGAAAATCTGCGGAAAGTAAAGGGTATTAAAGCAAAGCATCAGATAATTTTGAGATTGAAGTGAACTGCGATGGACGTATTCAATTGAATGATCCTTTCGTTTTGTAATATAGAGAATTTGATAGATTGGTACAGAACAAAAATAATGAATTCCTCCAATCACCCTACGTTCGATCTAAAGGCCCGCCTAAACACAGGAAACATTTCAACCAACGACTGAGACATTGTTGCGCACAACATTTTGTACTCTTTATTAGGCAACCTGCTGCGCCATCCAACTTCTTGCAACAGGCTGGCCAAACGTGTGCCGGACATGTTGAGGGTTACAATGTTGCGATATGTTACGCTGAAATGTTACGTGTGTTTAGCCTGACCTTAACCGTCACCAAAGCAGCCTTCTGTTGTTCTACAGACCTCTTTACAGTGATTGAATCGCATCGACAATTTCTAATAAAAATCACTGAGCCGGACAGGCACCCAATTTATTAAACGTGAATGCAAGATCAACTTATTTTCACTTGTTTCGTGCGCTCGTGTTGCGTTAATTTTTTTTTTTTCTCCTGCTGTTGTGGTAATGGAAACTTATCGTGTGATTGGAAATGTTAAGCTCCCTTTACTTGTCAATATAAAATCGCACCACATATCTGCACTTAGTACCAATAAGTTCGTCTGTGGGCAGTTCCTACAAGTTTTCAAAGGTTTTTAGTGCCTTTTTAATTGGATGGAGAAAAATTAGTGAGACTAATTCTTGGCGAAGTTCTTGTACTCCCTGTCTGGTACTCCCATTTTAGTCTGCTTTTTCTTTCATCTTAATTGAACTGTTCTTAAGGCAACGCAAAGAATTTTGACCTGCTTTATTTGCTGTTGTTGTTGTTGTTGTTGTTTTTTTTTTTGCGAGATATGCCTTCGATCTATAGAAAGCAATAGATGGAAGGTGCGGTGGCTTCGTGGTCAGTGCGCTCGTCGGTCGATCAGCGCTCGAACAGAGTGCTTCTCTAAACTCCGAGAGTCCCACATTGCTGGACTACCGAGTTAAATATAAATTATAAAGATTCTACTAAGGAGTGGCTGTATAGCCTGACTTTGTTAATTAAAAAAAAAAGCGTATCAGCAACGTACCAGCAGTAATGCTCTTCTTGGGAAAAGAGGTGTCAACATACATTGTAAATTTGCATTTGTTTTGTTCTTTCTTTGTCTTGAAAGGTTCTTACAACCATTTTTCAGTTATGTTTTCCCAGGAGAGCTTTAATTCAGTTCCTAATCAGCATACCTTGCCAAATGAAAAGCAAGAGTTCACCCCTATTTTCACACCAGCGAGATCATCATTTGCTTCAGCTTGTATTGAGCCACTTAGTTCCACAGTTTCAGGTAGGTCCATACTTTAAGCTAACATGAACCTGGCTACGCAACGAACCCAGTTTCTAAGAAGGCACTAACCCTAGACAACGTAACTATAGTTGTTCCTTAGACGTTTTCATTTCTTACGTTTATGTCTCCTCTAAATAAGAAAAAAAGATGTGAACGGTTTTTACGACCACAAAGGTCTAATGACCCTGGAAACATGCATCACCTATTCTAACTCGAAGATGACCTTGCTGACATTTTGAGATGTGCGTACAGGAGGCGCGTCCCGAGTTTGCATAATTTGAAAACTCTTGATTTCTTTTTAACAACCAAAGCTACTTAACAGAGTCTTCAGAACATACCGTCGTTTTAATTGGTTGACAAGAGCAGCGTGGCTGGGTTGAAGTTGCTGTACCACAGCATCGCCATTTATTTAGTTTCAGAACGATTTTCTCAGGTTGCGTATACTCTCTGAAGTATGTCTTGCCGCCACAGCTTTTTTTGCTGGGCAATAATGCGGTTGAAAGAAGAAAAAAAACCTCTCATTCCAGTCAAATACGACCATCGTTGTTTTGTTCTTTTCAATTAGCCTGTCCAGCTATTTTCTTGCAAAATGGCACGCTTCTTGTGCAGTTATATTTCTCGAGAAGAGCTCAGTTTATCCCATCTTGCTAATTTAAATTTAAGACAGCACAATCATCCTCAATATAATTTAAGATATGCATCATAACAATGATGAACGCTCGTGTCATGGGAAAAGTTAAACTTCGCTTCGCTTTGCTTCTCTTGCTGAGGCATGTCTTGCCGCGACAGTGTTTTAACTTGATAAGTGGTAGAAAACTGAAAGAAATCCTCTGATACGAGCTAAATATCACAGGTGACATAATTTTCAAGCGAAATTTTAGCGTGAGTTTATAATTTCACAACTGAAGTAAAAAGCTGGTTTGAGGAATTATAAGAATTTCGACAAAACATGCAAAAACACTTATGAGGCCATTCTTGTTTTGTTCTTTCCAGTCTAATAATACACATGAAAAAATTACTCGATTCTGATTGGCTAATAACAGTGTAGGTCAAGTGTAACACCAGTGCAAAAAGTGTAACACCAGTGCTATTTACACATCGAAATTCTGGATTATGATTGACTGAAAGAAAATAGGAACTTTTCCAAGAAAATGATATCACGTAAAAGGATGACGAAAATGTTGTGCTGAAACTTTGAAAAAAGTTTTCTCAAATGAGAAAAAAAGGCTTCAAGAAAGATCTTCCGGCACTTCCTCCGCGCGAATTTTTTCATGTTTATATTATTAATAAGTAATCACACGGTTTTTCTCGTTCAATTTGCAGTTAATTTGCGCTTGTGAGTTTTTCAAAAAGCTGAAATTACACTCGCCGAAGCGGCTCGTGCAATTTCAGCTTTTTGCAAAACTCACTCGTGCAAATTAATTCCAAATTGAACTCGAAACCGTATGATTACCTATACTAATTTGAGACCATGGACTACTAATCATTATTGTTTTGTATCATCATTCAGGAATGCAGCAGCGAAAACAGCCAGCTCATTAACAAGTCCATCTGGCCTTGGCAGCTGCAAAGTTTTTGAGCGAAATTTCAGCCGGATTTAAGTTCTCCTTCTGTTGGTGAAATTTGCTGGCAGCTGGTCCTTACCAACATCCCCAGTCATGATCTTTGAATATGTGCTTACCAGCCAAGCTCCAAAAAGAATTCCAAAAACAAGGTGCTCATTCAAGCAGAATTCCTCTGATCTGAAAGTGCAAAATATCAAAATCAAGGGGATAAGAGCTTATAAATCACCAACCCAAGGCAACTGATTAATAAACATTTTGTGGATAGTGTGCACTAAAGGCATCTGCAGTAGAGTGTTGACTGATACCATTGATCGATCTTTGATCAACACTTGATCGATATCTTGATCAACACTTGCTCAACATCTCGATCGACATGTGATTGACACTTGATCGAGTGTTGGTCAATATACTGCCGAGTGTCAACTGACTCATATGTATAGATTGATATTCAATGGCATAACTGCGAAAATTAGTGGACTCTCAAGCAACGTTTGACTGAGATGTCGACCAAGTGTCAACCAACACGTTGATCAAGTATTGATCGAGGGTTGATTGAGGGTATCGATCGCTACTTGACTGTGGATGCCCTGAGTACACAAGTCATGATCCCATTTTGTGTATTCCTCCAACATTGTCAGAAACATGCACTCTTCTACATCTGTATATAAAATCATTTAGTACCTTATTTTGTAAACTACAGTTAAGTATTATCATGATTAAATTATGATGAATTACAGTGCATAATGATACTAATCAAGTGTCTTTTTGAAAGTCGCTCAAGAACGCACTTAATAATATCACACTATTAACATTCCCTACTTACGTTTCACACAATCTGGTTAAATAGTCTTCTTCTCCTCCAATTATTCCTAAAAAGCACCAGGCAGAAAGACTGCCACATGTTGTGAACAACAGCATGTGAAACATCCTGGCAGGGTGAAGAGGAAACAAGATCGCTGCCACTTGTGTTTGGTGAATTACATCTCTCACTAAAATAATGAGAAATAAGGTAACTCAGATTCTTGTTTTCTGTGTTACCATACAGAACTGAAGTACAGATGATATCACAAATGGTAGGGAATTGCAAGGGTTTCATTAACATTTTCAGCAGGAGGGGTGACTGGTTTTCACAGGCAGGCAAAACTTAGAATAATTTTCCTTGGTTTGATCCTCATAGATTCTCACTTCTAGAGAACAAAGGTAAATACTTACCTGTGTTGAATTTAGCATAGGAAAGCAATACTGCAACACTAACAGTACAATAAAAACAAACAGATGTCCAAAATGAGAAGCTTAAAACCAAGGATAGGCATTCTGCAAAGACAAACAAACAGTAAATGAGTAAGCATTAATGAAAACAGAAAGGATTCACAAATTCAAGTAGTGGCTTAAAAACAGACATAAAAAGCAAATGAGCTGATCACTTTTAGTATTTTGAGTTACAGTTGAACCTCTCTAATACGGACACCAAAGGGACAGAGCAAAGTGTCCGTATTAGAGAGGTGTCCGTCTGGGAGAGGTCACCATGATGATGTTACTTTTAATTTATACCATAGTCTCCACTGACAGTGTAGAGTTCATGACGAGTTGTGCACCAGAGTATTTGACATCTAAGATTGTCAGAAGATCTGCCCTCTCGACAAGGAATACCAGAAACTCTCAACTTTTGAACATACCACTCTTCCATACTGCTAGCGGCCAAAGGACCTTTCAATATCAATATAGAGCGACCTCTCTGTGGAATGAGTTGCAGCCTGTACTCAAACTTAGCCCATCCATGACCGATTTCAAGCACTTACTCAGGCAAAAGCTTCTGAATGACTGCTTTATTTAATTTTATTAACCTTTATCTTCTTTCATCATTGTCATGTACTTAGTTTTTAATTTTGTAATGTGAAATTGACTCTGAAAAGCACCGTGGGGATGAGCCAAAAAAAGTATGTATGTGTGTAAAAGTGAGTGTCTTGTGAATTTCTGAATCTAAATTGATTAACTTTATCGTATTTCTCAGTTACATGCCGTACATGCAGGTTTTAAAACAAAACAATATACTGTACCTAGGAACTTACTATACTGTATCAAATTGGCCTTGATAAAGAGGTTAAATTTCTATGAATTTGCTCCCTAGGGAAGAGATTTAGTGTCTGTTGTCCGTTTTAGAGGGTCTGTATTGTAGAGGTTTTTTTGAAGGAAATGTATGAAAACTTTGTCAGTACATAGGAAACTGTCTGTATTAGAGAGGTGTCCGTATAGAGAGGTTCGACTATATTGGCTTTTGTAGAGGAGAGAAAACCAGTGAAACTGAAAAACTCTTAGAGAAAGCTCTTAATGACCATACATTTATTAATTCAGTTTGATGTCTGTTCTTTAGACATTCTTACAGCAGATCACTTTGGAATTAAGAAGTTTTGGATTTTGCAGAGGAAGGAAATGGGAGAAACCGAAGCAAACTAAAATAAAAAAAACATTTGACTGTTTAATGTTATGAAGCCCATCAATGAAATGGTTTTGAATGGTATTGTTTGAAAGTAATTTTCATTTTCATAATTTTGATTGATCAGCCAGAGTTTATCACAGATGAAGCACGCATACCTGAGATCCAGTTAACAGGATGAAAGAGATCTATAGAGGCTGCTGCTGAAGATATTAACAATGTACATGGAAGAATTATCATCACCCAGGCAATAGCAGCACCAGTCCTCCACCGAGTTTCCTAAAGATGATTGAGAAATAATCCTGCATTAACATTAAAACTATTTTTACTGCAGCTGTGCATACTTAAGCTGACTTGTAGTCTGAAAAAACTCTCTCCTTAAGTTGCCATTGATGGAAGCCTCTGTTAAAAGTTTGACCACGTGCACAGCCAAGACACAATTTAATATAAAGTGGAAATTTGCAAGAGTGACCAACATCCAGTTTCTCCTTACAGATTCAATACATTGTCAAGCAGACAGGTGATGAGAATAAAGAACATCATCGCATAGATTATTGTCATTTATAACTGGCAACGACTAAATCTTAAACAGTAATTTGACAAGGAAGCACAGTGATCTGCGCAAAGAATAGATCATCTTCAAAGTTTCGCGCAATCAATATGTTGCAAATCCAATAAATTATTATCATATGTTTAAGGGTTTTAAAGAAGGCTTTGCGATCAAACTCCAGCAGATCGAAAAACCTCGTGAGAATAAATTAAAATGTACAGCTTCTGATCGAGTGTGACTGTGCATTCGAAGGTAATACTTACCCCTTCTGTGAACCACCTCACTTTAGAAGCTTCCGAGCGCGGAGGTTCGGACAAATCAGATGGCACCATGTTATTCTATAGCTAAATTTTTATCTTTTGAACGGCTATAATCGGCAAATAAATCCGATCCTACTACATCTGTACAAACTTCAAACCACGCGCCATTTTGACTTCTCCCTTTGTAACCTCGCCGCAAGTACTTAGCAGCCAGGCAAAATTTTGCCGATCAGCCAGGCCTCCTGAGCAGCCTCGCTTTTTGCAGGTGCTTCCAATATGGCGGTGATTAAGGGTTACATGTGCGTTTTTCTTTCCTTGATAAACTTGAGGCACTGCCTAGGATTGTACGCAGATCAAGTTGGGCTCTTCGACTGGCGTCAGAGCTACATCGGGAAAGTAAAATTTTCATTTTTCGATGTTTCTACGCATAGCAGCAAACGTTTGTTTGTTGGCACGGAATCGAACGTGATTGCTGCCCTAAATTCGAGAACTGGTGGTATTCTTTGGCGTCAAGTTTTGGAAGAGAGCGAAGAGGTTCTAGATACATTGCTTTATCGTGAAAACGTTCTTTTAAGCTCTTCAAGCGCCGGAAAATTCATTCGATCTTGGGATACTGGTAATGGAGCACTTCTGTGGGAGGCAATTGGCAATTCTGCTTCTTCGCCAAGCAAAAAGATTACAAATTCACCTTTCCACGGATGGAATGGACCACAGACAGCGTTGGTGGAGGCCAAAGAAAACGAACTTGTGGTTTCTCTGGCTTTTAATATCATCAAAGCATTTGGACTTCAAGATGGCTCAGAAAAATGGTCAGTTGATAACAGTGAACAGACAGCTGATTATTTCAGCTTTCAACATTCCAGTGGAATTTTATATGTTGTAGGAACCCAAAATGATGTAGACATTGTTATTCAGAAGCTAAATGTAGAGAATGGGCAAATGAAAGGAGAAAGACGCGTTGGAGCACCGTGGGTCAACAGTGGTGCTAGTTGCGTCTTTGTCAAGAAGTCAAGTTTGGTTTGCGCAGAAACATTCAGCAATAGCATTCACGTTATTTCCCTTACTGATGAATCAGCACCAGTGAAAACAATATCGTTACCTTCTTTAGGGCTAGGAGTCGAAGAACTCTCTCTTGGCAAACCTACCTTACACTCATTTGGTTCTTATTCAAATTCCTGGGATGAACGATCGGAGTTCCTGTTAAAACTCTCCAATACTCATCAGCTTATCTTGAACTTAAACAACGATCATAGCATTACAGTCCTGACCAAATTTACGGAGCAGTCTCTACTTAGAGCAGCTGTACTTGGCAACAAGGCTATATTGGTTTCAATTACACCAATCACTGATGAATCCTTAGAGCTTAAATGTTATGACTTAGACAACAGAAAAGACCTTTCAGACATGACGCAAAAGGTAGTCTTAGTAGATCACGGAGAACCAGAAGATGCTGTTGTTTATTTGTTTAATAAGAAAGAAAATGAACTTGGATATAGAGTATTCCTGGCTACCACAGATCATTCAGTGTCATTGGTACAGTTTCCTGGACGTGTCATGTGGTCTCGGGAAGAAGCTCTTGCTGAAGTCACAGCTGTAGAGGTGGTTGAGCTGCCATTTTCACCTTCACAGGCAAATTTTGAGACTCTTCAGGAGGAGTTTGGTGCTCATCCAAATGGTAGGGTAGTACGGTTAGGAGAGTCGTACAGGGGATCTCTGTCTGGCGTGGGTCGTGAATGAAAAAAAATAGCGAATCACAGATCATGGAACCAAAATTTCATTTTGCAGAATCATGAAAATAAGCAAGTAAAGTACTCTTTTTAATAACCTGCTCTTACACTAGAAAGAGTGTTTGAAGAGAGCAAAGGGGTGAAAGGCTAAGTAAAGACTCGATATTGCAAATTGTATACCTAAATCACTCTCGATAGATGACTCTAACCATTCGGAAGATTCACTTCTCAAAATCATGTAGGAATGAGTGGTGAAATTTACCAGTATACTNATATTAAAAAAGTTGAAATCTAAATATTGTTTGTTCAATTTTTTTTTCGGGGGGGGTCATCCCAAAAAATGACCGCTATAAGGGGGGGCCATGTGAAAAAATTGGTAAGCTGAGGGGGGGTCACGCGATTTTTAAATGGTGCTTCCCAAATCCCACCAGCGCCCCCTCCCTCATAAAAAATGAACGGTCCCTAAGGATCTAGAAGATTAACACGGATTACAGACGACGAACCTAAAACAAAATTAGGATAAACTTTTCAAGATGCAGAAAGCGTGAAGTAGCTCCTTTAAATAGTCAGTGGTCACTCCTATTTTCAAGGCTGCCCGTTGTCCTTTTTATGTCACTTTGTATAGTGGTGCCTCTTTCCTTTTACAGAGTTTAATGTTAACTTTTCAGCAATTTATGCATATGTCGGATCATTCATGAACCAAAACCAGCTGACTGATTCCAGTAATCGCTTATTTAAATACAAATACCATGCTGTTTTCAGAAGTCCCTAGAATAGCCCTGAAGCAGAGGTGATACGTAACTTTTTTAAATCATTTCTAAATAAATAAATAAGTAAATAAATAAATAATAAATAATAATAAATAAATAATAAATAATAATAAATAAATAATAAATAAATAAATAATAAATAAATCATACCATTTCTAGTCCTTACTGCACAGTCTCGGTACCCCAATGTTTGTGAGTCTCGCTCGATGGAATTTGAATCGATGTTCTTCGTTACGAACCGCCTACCTTAATTTTGAGGCATTTTAAATTCTTTTCCGAACAGTTTCTTTGATTTTTACAGCTACGAAGTTGTTTCATCAAGCGTCATCGGAAAGAACGAAGCATAAAGCTTCACGTCCATAATGGCGGTTGAAATGACACTTTGTTTACGTTTTTTTGCTTTGATCCATGTAAGACATCACGAAATCTCACATTTCGAAACTAATTACATGAAGTAAATTCAAACTCTCGAGAGTGCTCAGTGCCGACTGGAAATCATCTTTAAACTTATTTTTGAGCGTGACTGGCTGATGGCGCGATTTGTTATGTAACCATAGCAATAGTGATCTTTTTCACTTGTGAAGCTCACCTGGTATTTCATTGGTGTTTATATTATAATAAGCAATAATTTGTATTCGATGAACATTCTTCTAAATTTCTTGCAGATTTTGACTTTGATTTCATCTTAAGCAACATTCTGTTATAATGAAGACTATCGGTGTTGTCATACTTGCGGTTCTCATTGTCACCGTGACGTCACGTATTCCGCGTTACCAGTATAAACTCTCAGATGGCGGACCTCGTTACCTGTATAAACTATCAGATGAAAGAGGTAGGTTTCTTTTCTTTTGTCATTATTGCAGAAGAAATCTCATCGAAATTCTCTACAAAGTAGTCTGAACGTTTATCGTTAGAAAACATTTCCTGCGTGGAAGTTAGCGCGTATGTAATAAGCACAGAAGACGTTATTAATTTTTGTAATACTTCATCTACCCTGGTTTTTTTTTTTTTTTTTTTTCACTCTTGATTTTACCATTCTCCTCGGAAATGAGAAATTTCACCGGGGTAATTAGGAAGATGGGTTAGCAAGAAATAAATTATCATCAACTCTTAAGAAAACTACTTACAATTTGACTTAACCTGTTGAGCTTCCCTCTTGTCCAAGCATTCCTCGCTTGTAACGGAAGCTCTTTATCTTAAAAGAAAGAAGAAACAAGAAAGACACGGCTCACCAAACGTAACATGCCATTGAAAAGGTCCGACATAGCCCCTTTATTTGAAAAAGGATATACAGATAAGGAAGAAATAGTTTCCAGGCTAATCCTTAGCTAAAACTAAATACGTCAACATAGAGCGGTTTTCAATTGAGCGTCGCAATTAATATCAAAACCAAAGCATTCTGCCCAGCCAGTCACAAATTACACGAACAATCCAGTGAACCACTCAAAACTCGAAATAAATACCTGAAGCTCACATGAAGCGCTGGAAAACGTGTGAGCACGACTCACTATTGGTTTTGGTTTTACATCTGATTAAATGAAAAAATGGCAGGAGTTTTTTTAAGCCAATGGTGATCCAAAGTAATGCCAATTACTTTTCGACTCTCAAGTAAAAACAGCTGTCCCTCATGATTAAAACCTGGAAGTACACTCGCGCAAGTAGTCGAAATAAATGATATCAGAATCTTTTACTTGTAGGACAACCGGATGCTTTTGAAGTACGCGCAATCGATAAAGAGAGTCAAGAGACAAGAGGCTTTTTGAAGCCGCGAGAGCCCTGTGATCGAAGCTGCTACAGTAACTGTATGAGAGAAGTTATGAGAGGCCATTCAAGCGGAACCTGCTCCCATTGTGGTTCAGACTGCAGTTAATTAGCCGTCTCTCAAGAACTGTGAGTGTCGTAACATGCATAATCATTTTAGAAAGTCGAGTGCAGTAAGATTTTACTATCAGAAAAGTCAAGCTATTTTGCGTGGATACACCATTGAAAAGATCTGCCCTTTTGTTCTCTGTGTATCAATAAACGTAACCCTATGTTGTTCTCAACAGCCTTGATTATGTAAAAAATAGATTGCAATATTTTTTGGTGTTTTATTTGAAGCAAGATCAGAGCATTAACTGAAATATAAGCTCGAACCATAAGTAGATTTGTGAAAATTGGAAATGATTCTTCTGTCTTCCGTCGAACATCGTTATGAGATAAATACGAGTAAAAGGTCTCTCTTTGTGGGATAAGTCCTTTTTATATTCCTTGAAAATCTACTAAGATTGAAAATGATTATTCTACTTACTCTTAGCCAATCATAACGGAGTAATTTTCTGTCCTATCTTAAATACAGGAACAAGCTTTCTCTAGTTTGCAAAGCGAAAGTTCTTTTAAATCCTCTTCAATTAGTTATTGTAGGGGCAATGACTAATTCACTACTGGTAATTGATAGCACAGGGCAAGGAAAAGGAAAGCCAGAATAGAGAAATTCCGATTATAACAAACTTTATATCAAAATTGAAATTCTCCTCACAAGTCTGCTTATATTCTATAGCGCACTAGTTGAAATAATTGGACTATCGGTTTCTTTGTTCTTAAGATCGGTAGAACTGCGCTGATTCTCTAAGGAGAAATGAGATGCTGCTCAGGGCTGTCACGACTACATTTGAACACTAATGATTGGCAACCATGAAAGACTAATGAGTGGTTTATATCTTTTTTCAGGCGCATGCGCAAGAGACACAGATCCTTCAGCGTGGAGTGATTTGTTCTTGAAGTGTGAACCCGACCTTATATGAAGTGTGAACACAACGTTATATCTAATGCAAACACAGCGTTACACTTAGTCTACAAAATGACGCAATTTTGATGTATTTTTACTTTTTCCTTAGTACATTTTAGTTTTCGTAGATTGATGTTCGATTAAGAGTTTTAAAATATTTCTTCCATGTAAGAATCAAGAGAGTTAATGTATGCAGCAAGCGTTTTGGACAAGCAAATTAAAGATGCAACCAGTCAACAATTGTGTTATATTCGCGAAAAATTAGTATCGGTTAGTGCCGCCTTGTCAAATACGGGAATTACTGTAATAAACGTGTGGGTTTTTTTAACATGAATTTTCACACGTTTTGTAGTCTTCCACATACGACTGCACACCGCCCAAGAGGTCGAGATGATAACTATTAAATACTTTGACGCCATGGAATACTACCAATACATTTTAGATTGGCTTGGAATAAACCTCAACCCCTCCTTGCAAAAAACACCTGCAACCGCAAATGCAGCGGCAGTCAAAACCACACTGTGCGACCGAAACGGCACGATAAGAGTCCTTTTCTTACTAGCTAACAAAACTCAAGGCAATCCTAAAGTTGATTTGACTTAATGGTCGTAAGAAAGAATGAGCTCACTTAAAGCCCCGGCCAAACGATCGCAACATTTCAACGCAACGCATTACGACATTGTTGGGCGCAACATTTTGCGCGCGTTTGGCCACCCTGCTGCGACGTGTTGCGACATGTTGGGTGTTGTTGGCTCGAATTTGAAAAATGGTCAAATTTTTCAAGCAACATTTGAGGATGTTGCATGATGTTTTAGTCGTTTAGCCAGGTTCGGGCGAAAATGTTGCGTCAGGGCAAGCGCACTAGTTCGATTTTCAATACTCATTATGCCGCAAAACGTAGCAATACGTTGCAACAGGGTGGCCAAACGAGCGCAACATGTTACGCCCAGCAGTGTTGCGTTCAAATGTTGCGATCGTTTGGCCGGAACTTGCAAATGCTGGACCAACAATGTTGCGATATGTTGTACTAAAATGTTGCGATTGTTTGGCCGGGGCTTAAGACCATTTTTTCATCGCTTGAATATAAAAACGTCCGGTTTGACCTCTTCTAGTTTTAAATTTAACTAGGAATAAGATATTTTGTTAAGATTGAGACAACTCCAAGCGACACTTACTTGCTGAGCACGACGCACGAGACCCTGTTTTTGCACCAAAATCAAAGCTGTGAGGCCCAAAATATTTCGTATTTTTCATTTCGTGCAATGTTATGATTTCTGCATGCATTTTAAATCCCCAGTCGTGAATCTTCAATGCGGTAGGAGTGAGAAAAGTGCCCAAACGCCATTGCTTTTCCTATACTTGTCTCCTATTTTTAGACATTTTTTTTGGACATGTTGATCATTATTCTTGCTCTTGTCATATCAACGCGTTGCAAGGAAATAAACTAACTTTACCCACGTCAACTTTAAGAAA